TTTATGGTAACAGAGCCGGTAAGTAGATATTCCTACTGTCCGGTTTCTCTAATTAATAAACCTTCCATGTATTTTGTGTAGATAATATTCACCTCTAAGGGCGTTCGCATTGCTGGTGTGCTGCCGGATAAGGATGAGAAATTTGTTTTGAACATCTACAAACACGAGGTTATAAAAGTTATTGCACACTTCGCCAACTACGATCAGGCCCAGCCTCTGGTCACGCTCTATATGCTGAAGACCTGCGCTCAGTATGTGAAATCTCAGCTGCAGCTACCTGAAGATACACCCAACGAACGTAAGTGAATGATACAGTTAGATTGTGGTTATATATATTGGTGATTTCCATTTTTGCATTCACTTGCAGAGTTTGGTATCAAGTGGAATGGTAGCTTTCATGAGCGCCGCTTGATATTGCTCTTCGATACGATAAGCTTTTCGGCACGAGAGACTCTCAAGTCTATGTTTAGTTTTCTGGATGAAATTTCAGCGCGGGATGCAGCAGAAATATTAGAACGTATCGCGGATTCGGATCGCAAGGCACTAGACAAGCCCATGCCACAGGCCCCGCGTCAGCTTCGTCCAGATGAGCAGATTAGTCTGCTGATGTACCCACCTAAGGGCACTGGTGGACTGTGCATACGCATGGAGGATTACGTATGCTTGACCAAGGAGTCGTATTTGAATGACATTATTATTGATTTTTATCTGCTCTGGCTGCGCAACACATTGATACCGGAGGCTCAACGTGAACGTACTCATATATTCAGTACATTCTTTTATAAGCGTCTCACAACACTAACTCGACCAACGGACGTTAAGCAGACAGCGGCACAAAAGCGTCATGCTCGTGTCCAGAAATGGACTAAAGTCGTGGATATATTTGATAAGGACTTCATCATAGTGCCCATTAACGAGCAATCACATTGGTTTCTCGCCATCATTTGCTTCCCCTGCCTAAAAGGTCCCGTCACCTTCGATACGAACCAGCCCGTGGAGCCGCAGCATTTGAAGCGTGCACGAGGCAAGAAGATTGCTCTCCAGATCGGCAACACAACAATAACGCCGTTGTCCAAGCGAGAAACCGTGACACTGCCGACTATGCCCAGCGAAATATGTAGGATAGCCGACGACGAAAGCGAACGCGATGAGGCCGAAGGCGATGATAGCGATATGGCATCAGAGGTTAGTGAAAATTCAAATCCACCCATCAGCAAGGAAGCAACAGCTGCGGCAGCAGCTACACCTGCGCCCACGACAAGTTCTGGCCCCGCACGAGCCACAAACGAGGATGTGCCAGCTGTAAAGCAGCCTTTGATATTAATATTTGACTCTTTGGCGGGCGCGTCTCGAAGTCGAGTAGTGGCTACGCTGCGTGATTATTTGACATGCGAATACAAGGTGAAGAAGCCGGATGCGCAGGCGCACGTCTTCAATAAGGATAACATGCCCGGACATTGCGTCAAAGTGCCGCAACAGAACAATTTTACAGACTGCGGACTTTATCTGCTGCAGTATGTGGAGCAATTCTTCAAGGATCCGATTAAGGATTATAGATTACCTATTAAACAACTGACCAATTGGTTCGATTACCTAACTGTGACTAAGAAGCGTGAAGACATTGCCCAGCTGATACAGCAGCTGATGGATGAGAACAACGCACACCAGACGCGACTTATTTTGCCAGTAATTGAGTTCCCCACACTCAATGGCCAGTTGGTAGAGTATCCCGAAGAGACGGAGAGCGCTGAATTTGAGGAAGAGGAGGGCCACGACGAGGAGGAGCAAACTAGTGATGTGGTAAGCAGTTACCTTACTATACAATTATCTTCACATATTCATTTTACTCTCTCCCTTTATCTTGTGATAGCATGATGATAATACGGCCACTGATATGGAGGTAGATCCCACGGCTGAGGAACTGCAACAGGCCCAGGCGTCCAAGTCGTCCACACAGGCCGTCTCAACAGCCACGACCACTACAAGCGCAACTGTGATGGCGGGAACTACGACGCGCCGATTTGTGCTCAAGCGTCGCCTGCAAAACGGGGCCTCTGCCTCTCCAAGCAATAGCAACGGCGCAAACGGGGGAGAAGCCAACAGCACCAATAGCCAGCTGGTCCCGCAACTGATTAGCACTGCCTCCTCGCTCAGCAACAATAGTAATACACCTAGCGCCGGCAGCGCTCTCCTAGCTAAAGGTGTCGCCAGTGTCGGTACCGGCAGCCTTAAAATTCGCAAGATCGAACAGTAGCATACGGGCGCCGGCTCTGAGCCAGTCGCAGAGATGCCACCGCTACAGCTGCTGCAAATGTTACACCCACTGTAAATAACAAGATAAAAATTATACAAACAGTACATTTAAAATATGCCCCCAACATTTCTTAAATTAATACTAATTATAAAAAGAAAAAAACAAAAGTCGTCAAATATATTGAATAGTGAAGTTATTTGAAAAACTCCATTCGTTTCTATATTGAATACATGGCGGGTCTTTTCTTCGTGGTTGTTGTGTGGGTGGGGGAATTTTCGTTTTCTAATGCCCCTGTGCCGCCCTCACCCAAGAACCAGTTTGCGTTCGCCATGTAAGCTAGAATATCTGCCATGTATACGCTGACATCGGCTCGCACATATCTACATGGTAAGACTCCCATAGACTTTCTCCAAAAAATCTTAATAAATAGCAAATGGTAGCATTACGCTGAACTGGAACCTTCCGCCTCTCTTTTTCTCAGCTATTTAAAACGCGAACTCTTTGCTTTAGTTGGTTATAAGCGTAGTTTTCAATTCGTGCACCCTCTGGCCGCTTGCCATGTAGCTGATTAAGATATACATGGCACACTACATGCGATGCACACACATACAAACGCACACGCATGCATACGTCATGTATTGTTCGGCGTCAGAAGTTTGGTTATGTTGACAGCAGAAGCAAATAAGAGCACGGGGAGTAGGCGGAAGAACGAATGAAGCGCACAAAACAGAATGAAAAAGCGCGCTCACCCTCATCGTTTCAAATGCTCATAAGATTGAAATTATGTGAACCGTCTAAGGTGGTATGGTATGTGATATAAATAAATGTGTTTATACATTAACAAATTCATTGAAATTAACAAAACTGAAAATATTTTCAAATGGGTATATGCTAAAACATATATACATACATAGCTGCGTAAAGCGAATGGATGCGTTAAGTGCTTTTAGAACATCTGTGTGTAAGTATAATTACTTTTGTTGTAACAATACATTTAAAATTGCTATTCAACATCAAAGGTCATTGTCATTTGCAGTCTTTGTTTTGCTAAACGAGCTTTAATTTATCTTATGTTTTTGTTGTAGAATAATTATCGATAAGAAATCAGCTGTTGCATTAAAAATAACACAACTGTTGATTAACTTGGCAGCTTCGTGAAGTTCGGTCACACTGGATACCGGCTTCGTTTGATAGGGAATCGAGCAGCCACAGGGGTATTTTATTTTGCATACATGATGATAATGCAGCTGCTATAAATATCCCAGAGGAAATTTCGCAGCCCAGGAACCATAACTGGCAGTTTTTCGCTTAAACTACATTTAATAACACGCATAAAATTAAAGTTGAGATATCTAAATTATTTTCTCTTTTATTTTCCATATCGTTGGACTTTGTGCCAACATATCCATTGGTATACATAATCACAGCCATGAGGGAATCAACTCAGTCTTTGATCTCTACTTCCACCAGTTTCCAGATTGAGTTCCTTCCAGTATCCTGTAAAGAAACAATTAAAAGGAAAACATTTCCTAATCCAGTCCATTTGTCGTTTGCTGGTGTCGTTCAGTCTTTTTGGCCCTTTGCTTCGCTACGAAGCTGAAGTCTGGGCAATCACAGAAAAATTGCAGTTATAAAATTATGAAGTTGAAAAGTCAATAATACCAGAATAAGTATCGTCGAATAGAGCCAAGGCTCATCAAATATGACGGACCAAATGAAGTTTTGAGTCTTTCAATTCAAATGAGATCTTTGGAAACATTTTCGGTTTCCAGGAGAAACGTTTCTGGTCTTTTTGCATATTTTTTATGCTCTCTTGTCTTGAGGGTTAGCTTGCGGTCCGGTTGTTAGATTCGATTTTAGATTTGAGTCGTTAATTAATAACGATTTATATATACATATGTACATGCATATGCATACATGTATATGTATATATAGCATGAGTGCTGCTTGCTTTTTATAGGGGGTGCTGCGGAGTGTGGGGGCGTTTCATTGACTCCACATAGAACGTTCGATATTCAGCACTTTGATTGCTTTAAGAGTCCAACTCTCGTGTGTGGGGGTAAGCACAGGAATTAAAAGCGCACAGACGCAAACACACACACTCGCACACGCACACACACATTATGCACACATCACTGCTTTGATTTTTTCCATTAACATTGTTAACGGTACGTTCTTGTGGTGCTGTTTGGTTGGTTTGGTTTGGGTTGTTTGTTGTTGTAGCGTCTTTTAAATAAAGTTCACATTTGTGCTTCATATATTTTTTCTCTCTTTTCTGTATTTTTTTTTCTTTTCGTTTTAAAATATTAATTAGATTTTTGTTGTTGTGATAATTTGCTTATTTTGTAAGTTTGTTTAAATCATAGAACTTTCGCATGACAAATAGCTAAGCAAAAAAGGAGGGAGAGAGAGAGAGAGAGTATGTGAGAAACAGAAAGTAAGAGAGAGAGTTGGTTGGAGTGTTGTGTATTGTAAGAGACGAGCTGTGGAGCTGTTCGTACGATTTGATTTGTGGGTTTTTTAAACGATTATTTCGGCGCTGGGGCTCTGTGTGTGTGGGTCCAACTATGTTTCCCGCTCATTTGCTCACTTAACTTATCATTATCATTATAATCGTTATCATTATCATTATAATTTTTCATTGCATTTGAAGACATTATCATCTAGACCATCTTCTTCTTCGTACATTCACACGCGACACTTTTCTAGGGAGGAGAGCATTTTCTTTCGCGCACTTTTCCATATTTTTCTTTTTATACCCGTAAACAATACTCAACGACACATTTAACGTCTGCCGTCCCGATAGCTGCGTTGCCCTCCACCGCCACCGCCGCCACGTTCGCCACGGAATTGTCGCGAGGAGCCACTTCGGTTACCGCCATAATCGCGTCGTCGACCGCCCACGGAGCTGTTGTTATTGTCCCGATTGCCTGCACTGATATTGGGCACATTGGCCCCGCCCACGCCACCACCGGCATTGCTGCTGCCACCGCCATTGGCGGCGTAGACTGGAAAGCCCGGTGGTGCGGACACTGTGGGCAGACCCGCATTCTTCCAGGCGGCAAAGTCCTCGTAGCTGGGCGCTTTATCAAAACCCGGCGGCGGTGGTCGCATCGGCTGTGGCGGCGGGTAATCTGGCAACGGAGGCGCTCCAGGTCCGTCGTAATACCGCACCGGTGGTGGCAGTTGCTCGTACATTGATGCTGGCGCTCCCGGGGGCAATGCATTGCCAGCTCCTGCAGCAGGCATGGGCAGCTGGCCAAAGGGCGGCACAAACGGCAACGGGGGTAGCTGTCCGTGCATGTTACGTATGTAGTCCGCCACATAGGCCTCGGCAGCTGCGGCCGAGGACATGTAGCGCTCCCACGAGGGCATGCCCATGTCGCCGGCTCCGGCTGCACTACCTCCCATTTGACGGTAAGGTGAACCACCGCGCTTAAAGGCGCCGCCGCCGCCACCGCTGCCCGGCATGCCCATGCCCATGCCATGATGGTGATGATGATGCCTATACGGTCGCTGATGATGATGTGGTTGCCCATGTCCGCCATAGCTGCGCTTATGTCGCATCGGTCCCAACTGGCTATTACCACGCCCACCGCTGTGGCCACGCGTGGAGAGACTGCGCGGCGCCTTGTATATGACATGGATGCCTTTCTCACGCATCACACGCGCCGTCTCCTTGGACTTGCGCAAGATGGGCGTCAGCTCGATTTGCTCGTCTTCTGGAAAGAGGCGACACAGCTCAGCGCCGATCTTGGGCTCAATCTCTTGGCCATCCCGTCCAATCTTCACAGGCTTTCCTTCGTTCCACGTGTTGTGCAAATGCAAGGTGGCATTGAACGACAGCTCTTTGCGACATATCCAATCCAGCTCAATGACGCCGCCAAGAGCTTTGGGTGAAATGCTGGGAGGCAGCACCCAAGCCACCTGTGGAATATCTCGCCGTGAGGGCGCGGCCATGCGTGCAAAGCCAGCGAATTTACCTATCACAAGAAAAGATGGCAATAGGGGGAATTATCTATTATCTATCGGAAGTTATTCCAATTAGAAAGCTTACCACTCTCGTTAACGGAGAATATAAGCAACACGTTGCGCGCCTCCTTGAAGGCCTGGCTCAGGTTGGCATCGTTCTGCGGTAGCGTCGCCCATACGCTCTTGCTCTTAGACAACTGCACGTTGTCGCTGTTGTTCGACTTGATCAGAAAGAAGCGGGTGTCGCGGAATAGATAGTTCAGCTTGGTCATGTAGTCATAGGACTTCTGTGTGGTGCCGCTGCCGCCACCATCCTTCTCTGGGGTGGAGCCCTTTGAGCTGTTTGCCATCGCCGCCTTGCTGCGGGCGCCACCATTTCGTTTGTGCTGTATGCCCGAATCCGAGTCCGAGGACTCACTGTCCGATTCGAGGGCAGGCAGCGACGGCTTCTCATCCTCTGCGTCGCTTAGATCGCTCTTGTTGCCGCCGCTTAGTCCACTCAGATGAGCTGCTGTGGAGCTGCTACCACTTACATTTTTCTTGCTTCGCGTCTTCTTCGAACTCGACTCACGTTCCTCGCTGTCCTGAGACTTGGAGTTGCCCTTGTCATCTGTATCCATTGTTTTCTTCGACTTGGACTCGCTGCCGCTACTGCTTGACTTTTTCTTCTTACCATTAAGGTCGCCAGGCGAAGCGGATCGCTTCGTTTTCTTCGACGATTTGCTGGACTTGCTTACGGAGGCAGCCGATGTTGCTGATGTGGACTTAACTGCAGTGTCTTTGCTTGCTTTATTGTTCGATTTGGCTTTGGACGTACGTTTGCCACTCCTGCTGCCATCTGCGGAGGACGGTGCCGTGCTTACAGAGCTAATGCTTGGTTCCGAGTCAGAGGCCATGGAACCAGCTCGCGACTTGGATGCCTCGCTTCGCGTGTCGAACGAATCGAAATCCTGCAATTCCTCGGCAATGTCCGCCTCATTCTCATCCAGGCCGAGATGAACTGCATCTAGATCGGCCATGTCGCGCATTAGCGGCTACTGCGCTTACCCTAGCTGACGCAATGAACGGTACTCTGTTTGTTTACCTTCCCACTAAACTGTTGATGTTGTTTTTGTTGCCTTTTTGTAGTACTATGGACTGCTTGGCGGCGGCGCTGGCGGCTTCTCTATTCCTCTTCTAAGCATTCGTTCATTCAAGCGCGCATGAATGAGACAGCAATCGAAGCAGCGGAAATAGACATAGAGAAAAAAATGCCAATCGATTTAGCAAAACCGAAACTGCAAAACAAAAGTTGCCAGAACACGCAGCGCTCAACACTCACTTTCTGCACGTTGCGTGCAACTAACTGCGCAAGATTTGCGCCAACTTTATTGCACTATTTATATATTTTCACTACATTAATTAACAAACTACAATGGGCGAATGTTTTATACCGAATTTGCGTCAACAGAGACAAGAGACCAATGGCGGCAGAGGAGTACAGCTATAGGTATACAAGAATAATTCACGGTCGCTTTGTGCTGCCTATCGAAATTGTCTATCCACCGGCATATATTTATCGAATAGATTGCAGCATTTTTGCAATGAATTTTAAACAGGGCGTTAGATATGCTAATTAGAGAGGAATATAAAAGAAATTCTATGAATTAAAAATATCAAAGCTAGCAGAATTTTATATATTGTACTATGTGTTTAAATAAAAATAATAAATAAAATTATATTAAATTACAATTGGTTATTACAATATATGTGCAAAAGGCTTCATTCACATTAATATTCATGTCAAAAAAGTAAAGCATAACTAATTGAAAACCAAATTTAAAATCTTATTGCTCTGCTCTAGAGCCGTTACACGTCGGCGTAGGCGCGTTAGCTGAATCGATAACACAGCAACAGCTGATTCATCGATAGACCAAATGATTGCAATACAAACAAAGAGTACAAGCTGACACAATAAAAACACAATAACAATAACTAATTAAAGTATTGAAATTAGTGTGAATCATCGGTAATAGCTTTTTTTCGTCACAATGTCTGCGAGCACAGCAAAAGAATCAGAACCGCCCAGCTACGAGGAAGTCATGCGAGGCAGTGCACCCCCTATGCAAGGTAGCTTATCGACTTATAGCAAAAGACAAACACTGAATATAATAAATATTTATGTATGTATACAGATTCTCGGCTCATAGCTGGTGTGCATCATGGCGCACCGACAGCGCCACCAAACATGGCTAGCTACGGTGCATTCGAGACGACGCCAGTCAGCATTGTGGTGCAGCCAGCGCTGCCCCCAGAGATCATAGTCATTGGCGCTTGTCCCTCGTGTCGCATTGGCTACTTGGAAGACACATTCTCGCCGCTTGGTCTATGCTGTGCAATATTCTTCTTTCCCATTGGCATCCTCTGCTGTCTGGCGATGCGCGAGAAGCGCTGCAGCAATTGTGGAGCAACGTTTTAAATGCCCAGTTAACACTCTCACTCTTCCTCACTGATCGCGATTTAGAGATAAAGGCAGAGAGAGAGAGATTTTTAGCTATATGTATATTCAACCAGACAAATTGGACTGTTAAGTTTTTTAAAAATCACAAAGAAACGACAAATTATGCTAACTCGTTAGCTTGTTAATCATTAAACTATATATATATATATATTATATGTACGTATGTATGTATGTCTGTGTAAATACAAATATTTTAAGGCTTTTATGACGCGGCTGCAGACTCGCCTTTCCATTCCATTCCATTCCACAACATTCCAATCGTCGTCGTTGTCGTGTGGACGTGGCCCGCTTCCGTTAAATTTAATTGAAATATAATGGGGGCGGTTTTGAATTACGCCGCTCGTTTACTCTTGGGCTGCCTTCATTATTATTATTATTTTTTCTTTTTTATTGTTTGCGTATATTTTTTGCTCTTTGTGAAACGTAAACAAGCGAAATTTTAAGCCAAGCCAATGCACGACTTACGCATGCTCTGTATGTAAATAAATTGTTAGTCAAACTCTACTAAATTAAGTACGTTTTATTTGTATGATGTTAAATAGTTAATGAGGGAAAACAGTTGGCTGTAATTGCCAAGTGCCTGATACATACATATATATAATTGGCCTACATGTAGATTGTGTATGTGTCCAGCTAATATGCCCGTCTGGTTAATCAGATTCGTACAGCACAAAGTCGCCGGCATTCACATCCGCCGCTTGCTCATCTTTCAGACTGCAGTCGCAAAAGTCTCTCGCGTCGATATGTCCCATATCTCAGGTCCGTCGGTGCTGCAGCTGTTGCTACTATGGATTACGCTCTGCACTAGCGCAGCTACAGCCTCTGGCCAATCCGCTGCCCGGTACAATGTGGTCATGGTCATCTTTGACGATCTGCGCCCAGCTCTGGGTGTCTATGGCGATAGTCTGGCTCGAACGCCGCATCTGGATGCCTTTGCCCAAGGCAGCAACGTTTTCAGCCACGCCTACAGCCAGGTAAACCAGCAGCCCGGACTAACTTGAACAGCTTCTCATGTCATCTGCCCGCCCGCAGCAAGCGCTGTGCGCACCCAGCCGCAATTCCCTCCTGACTGGACGACGTCCAGACACCCTGCACCTGTACGACTTTTATAGCTACTGGCGCAGCTTTGCGGGCAACTTTACTACGCTGCCGCAGTACTTCCAACAGCACGGCTACTACACCTACAGCTGTGGCAAGGTCTTCCATCCGGGTCTGTCCTCCAACAACACCGATGACTATCCCCTGAGCTGGTCTGCGCCCGCTTTTCATCCTCGCACCGAGCAGTTCATGAACTCGCCCGTCTGTCCCGAGCATGGCGGAGGTGTGCTGCGCAAGAACTACCTCATTTGCCCAGTGGAGCTGCAAACGCAGCCGTACAAAACTCTGCCGGACATTGAGTCCGTAACGGAAGCCCTACGCTTCATTGATACACGCAAGCACAGTCGCCAGCCCTATTTCCTGGCTCTGGGCTTCCACAAGCCGCACATCAACTTTCGCTTTCCTCGGCAGTTCCTCGGCAGATTTCCCCTCTCACATTTCTACAACTACACGGAGGATACACTGAAACCGCCAGACATGCCGGATGTGGCCTGGAATCCTTACACAGATGTTCGCTCCCGAGATGATTTCAAGCATAGGAATATTTCATTTCCCTACGGACCCATTTCCAGGCACCAAGCGGCGCAGATACGCCAGGCCTACTACGCCTCGGTAGCCTATGTGGACGATCTCTTTGGCAAGCTCTTGGCTGGCCTCGATCTGGAGCGCACAGTTATCGCAGTGCTCGGCGATCACGGCTGGTCGCTGGGCGAGCACGCCGAGTGGGCCAAGTACAGCAACTTTGAGGTTGCCCTGCGTGTGCCCCTCATCATACGCAGCCCGGAGTTCCCTTTGGCAGAGCCTCGCAAGCGTCACAGCATCACTGAGCTGGTGGATGTGTTTCCCACGCTGGTGGACTTGGCGCATCTGCCTCCACTTCCAGCTTGCAACGGCAGCGGGCTGGAGCAGCCAAGCTGCTCCCAAGGCAAGAGCTTATATCCCATGCTGCAAGGCCTGGACTTGGGTGAGTTTGAGTTTGCGGCCATTGCAGCTCCCTTAAAAGAGGTGGAAATCGGTTCATCTTGTAGGTGAGGACTATGTGGCCATCAGCCAATATCCCCGTCCCGGCATGTTGCCCACCAAGCATCCCAACAGCGACAAGCCCAAGCTGCGCAATATCAAAATCATGGGCTATACCCTACGCACGAGTCACTATCGCTACACGCTCTGGGTGCGATTCCATGCCCACAATTTCAGTCGAGGTAGGTTTTTAGAATACAGAATTTATTCCCGAAGGAATCTATGAAACTCGATATGATCTACAAAGAAAACATATATATATCGCAATATTAATATTGGCTTAGCATTAAATATTATAATGAAAATTCCTCTTACGTCTTATTAACGTCTGCTTAGATATAAGCTATAACTTAATTAATATCGTTAGCTTAGCTCTAGTCCAGCTGTAGTCTCTTTTATATTTCCTTCTACAGATTGGCACAATATCTACGGCGAGGAGCTGTACGATCATCGTTTGGACTCCGGTGAGGAGTTCAATTTGGCGGCGCTGCCGGAATTCAATTCCATACGCCAACATTTGCGCTGGCGTCTGATCGAAGCCGTGGGCTAACTGAGATTTATAGTAGAACTAACTAAAATATAACTCATTTGAAATTATCAATAAATATCACATTAAATTAATATTACATACATGTATAAAAATATTTAAATATTTTTTTTTTTTATTCACTTGAAATTGAATGACTTTTGACAAAGTTCAGTTGTAATAGAAGTGGATATTCTACTCTGGAAACTTTCCCATCTGTTCGCATGTGTGCGCATACTGTTGGGCGTCAGTGTGGTCGCAGTTGGTGCCGCGCATGCGTGACTTGTGTCCGTTGCCTTTGCTTCGTTGCTTCGTTTTTAGTGAATTTTTGTGAATGAAATTTCATTGAACGTTGGCGTCCATGCCGTAGCCGTTGCCGTAGCTGGTGACGTCGCCGTTGGCGTTAGCGTTGGCGTCGACGCCCATGCTCCAGTTGAAGCCGTTGCCAAAGCTTCGTGTGTTCAGCTGTTGCCAGGCGGGTGAAAATATGCTGGCTGGGTAATTAAATCTGCAGTCGACGCATCGCTTGATCAATCTGATCTGCCCCGCCCACCATTCGCCGCCCGTCTTATTTTGAAGCTTGCAAGCTCTCCACCTCTCTATCTCTCTCTCTTGCTCTCACACTCTGTGTGTCCAATTGCGCATAGACCTAACTATGCACAGTTATATATGTATGCTGTGTGTGTGTGTGTGTGTGTGTGTGTGTGTGTGTGTATATGTCTACTCTTTTGGCGTGGGCTCTCCGCTTGGGAGTTGCTTGTGTTGGTGGCTCCGCTTGTCATCTGGCCATATGGGCCTTTTTCTTGAGGTGATTAAACTGAATTTTTTCTGTTATTTTTTTGCATCGCTTTTACTCGCATTGGGCGTTGTGAACCACATTTTCACATTTTCCGCTCGCACAATGCAGCTGCTGCCCAGCCTTAACTATTATCTGTGTACCTCTGTGTATGTGTGTGTGTGTGCGTTTGAGGGGGTGTGGCAGATGCCATAAATTGCAGTTATGCATAATTGGGATACCCAGTAACTGAGCAACAGCCTTTTTCGGGTATCATATAACACTTCATTGACAAATAATTAAAGGGTATTAGCTAGTCTATGTTCTGTATTAAAATTGATATTACAATAAATCTACATCGTGTCAAACTCCTCTCTAATACAGGGTATTAGTTAGTCCATAAACTTCAAGGTCTTCATACAATTCTACTAATACAGGGTATTGGTTAGTGCATCAGATCCCCGATTTCCTTTCTATTTGGCAGCTCCAAGCGTATCCGGCGTAGCTTAACGCTAATCTCAAAACTCTTGAAGGAGTTCTTGGTGCAAGAGAATATCCAAATCGGGCTAAGCTGTTTGCCTAGTTTCCAAAGATTTATGATACATGCCATAATGAGGCGTCTGTATTGTCAAAATCTATGAGATCTAGCTAAATATACATATACATACTTATGTATAAATAGTTAAACATATGATGGACTAGTGGAAGTTTTATTAACAGAAATCTACAAATATCAGAGATATGCAAAGAAGTGATTACAGTTGAAGTTATTCTAGATATCTAAAGATACTCCAAAGTGTTGCCGATATTCGCAGTTTATGTCTTATCTATAGATCGAAATTCCGAATCGATGTCGCAGTCTGAAAGCCAAGTCAAAAAGTGTGTCTCAAAGCTAAGCAAATAATGTGAATACAACTATATGAGATGTTTGTTGTTGTTGTTGTTGTTGTTGTTGCTGTTGTTGTTGCTGATTTCTAAGCTAATTCAAATGCGTGGGCGTTACAAACGAAAATTGCAAAATATGCGTAGGCTGTAGTGGGCATGCACATGTGTGTGTGTGTGTGTGTGTGTGTGTGCCCATGTGTGTGTCTGTGTGTGTGTGTTGGCTCAGCAACAACAACGTCGCGTTCTTACCTACGCACAGTTTTCAAGCAACTGAACACGAAACGTGCTGCTCGCCGTTCGATTGACTTCAGTTTCAGCTTGGCTTGGTTTTATTTTAATTTTTTTTTTTTTTAGCTTCCAGCTTCAGACAACGCGTCGTCCCTCTAAAAAAAAAATAGAAGAAGAAGAGGAGAAAAAAAAATGCTAATTTTCGTTGACATGCCATAGTTTGGCTAAGGCTAATGACGAAGGTTGTTTGTTAGCTTTGTCAGTTGATTTAATTTTTTCTTGCCTCTGCTGCTGCTGCTGCTTCTTCTTCTTCTCTCTTCTTTTTTTTTTTTTTTGGCTGGTTAGTAAACTATCTGTTGGCCATATAACTGGTTGGCTCTAAAATTTCTTTTGACGGAATCTCCATGAATTAATGTTGTAGCGATCATCATGATCATCATGATCATCATCCTTAGGCCATATACATACATATATGTATGTATGCATGCGATGCGATAGTTATGCCTTTAACAGATGTCAAGCTGTGTCAAGCTGGAAGATTTTTTTCGGCTGATTACTTATGCTGATCAGAAAGAAAGAGATAGTGAGAGAGAGTGAGAGATCGTATAGCTGACAGCTAGTAGATAATATGGAGAAGATATTGCTGCAATAACTGTGCATCTCAGATCAGCATTGGCAACTGCAAACATTCGCTCGATCATGCGCTGCTCCTCAATGTCAAGGCCTGATCGCTTCATCAGCACGATAGCTACTCTCCCCCGTCTCTTCAGCCATCTAGCCTAAGCCATAAAATCAGTGAGAGAGAGATGGAGAACGAGGGGAGAGCGACGGCAATGCCAAAAAAGAAATTGGTCAAGCAAAAAATATTTTGAATGAAATTCCAGCGACGCAAACAACAACAACAAACATCATGAAAAAACCAAGCAGAACAAGTTGAGAGAAAATAGTAATGACTGACTGGCAGATGCCCTGCAGGGGTACAAGTTGACAATAAAGAGATCTATATGAGTTCATTAGCACTTATTATATCAGCTGTGGAGGATACTAAAAAAGATGACAAATATATGTATATGGCATAATTAGATAGATAGTAGATACAGATATGAAGCAGAATTTAGTACATATATACATATATAAAAATATTTATACTGAGAGATTAATAATCAATAAACCAATAAAGCTAAGCTATTCCTGCAAAGTTTAATAAACAACTTCAGAGTGAATCATTACATCTATATAGCCGTTGCCAATCTATACAGGGTATATACACAAAGCATTCATTCATTGGACACAATTGTAGTGAAGAAGAGGATACCTAAGCCGGCTGTCTTGTGGCAACAAAATAATTTATTGAAATTCAAATTTATTATCTGGTGTTCGGGCTTGGCCCCGGCCTCAGACCCGGCCAGCCAGCCAACCGGCCAACCGGCCAACCGGACAATCAGACAGACGGCAAGCCGGACGGACAGACAGGCTTGGTTTTGATTTTTTCCCGTTTAGTTTGGTTTTTCGTATATTTCTCCGCGTGTTGTTGCTCCTCTGCTGGTTTTGGAAACCCAATTCAGCTGGAATGCTGCAACACATATGGCCCAGAGCGTTAAACATAACTAAACGAAACAATCAAGAATGAGTGTAGAAATTCCAGAATGAGCCCACGCAGCGAACACAAACCGTCAGCGGGGGGGGGTGGCTGGAAGAGAGCGAGATCGAGAGCGGGAAGGTGAATGAGCGGGTGGGAGAGAGGCCAGCGGGATAGAGGCCATGCGATCAACGTTTAGCTGAACGGATTACGAGTAAAACAAGAAAAAAATACATTTTTTTCGCTCTTTTTACATGTGGCATAAACAAATACGAGGGCGCAGCCAACAGAGGAGCTGATGGGGGGATGGGGGAGCGCGCTCCCTCAGAGAGTGAAGACTGACCGCAAGGCAAACAATTTGAAAAGCAACACAGGCAGCCGCTGTAACGCGTGCTAAACAAGTTTCTTGATCGGCAACGAAGTTCGTCTTGGCCCTTGAACATGGAACCTGGAGCTGAAGCTGAAGCTGGAGCTGGAGTTGGAGTTGGAGTTGGTGCTGCTGCTGGGGCTGGGGCTGAATGTTGTCCTCTTTTCGTTGCAGTGCCCATATAAAAGACATTGAGAAATCGTTTAGCTTTACATTGGGCTTTTGCTGCTGCTGCTCCTTTCAGCCAAGTTCCTCTGATTATAAATATTTATGCCCGCTGCTTGAATGCGCTGCCCGGCTCAATTCAAATCGAAGACGACGACGACAATGAAATAAAAATCTCATTTTTACAGACAAGGCACAGGCTTCGGCTACCTACGCTCTTCCCGTCCTTCCGTTATTTGGTCTGCTGCAGCTCTACTCGCCTTCTTCACTCCTACTTACCTTCTCTTCTCAACTGCTCCTCTACTCACTCTCTTCTATTGTACTCACCTCCTACACACCTCTCCTTCACTCCCACTCTCATGCTCTTGCCCTCAGCCCATCTCCTTCGCTCTTTCACAGGTCCACTATTCCACTCATCTACGCTTCTCCCTCCCTCTCGCTCTGCTTCTATTGTGCGTTACTCACGTTCATATCATTCAAATTAAGCAGCTGAGCTTTTAAGCTCGTAGCTGTTTGCTGCTAGTTATGCGCGCATCTTGACACCAGCCATGTGAGCGTGAGCGAGCGAGAGAGCATGTGTGAGTTGATCCCTTTTCGCTGAACAATGGAGCGAATTCGTACGCCGCGTGCCAAAAGTTTTGATGAACTACCTTGCGGCGTCCGCTTCCTGGAAGCGTTTCGCTTGCAGCCAAGTTTTTTTTTTATATATGTATATGTGTATTTTATTTCTTTGTATTCTTATAATTTGTCTTTTTCTTAACCCTTTTTGATGGAGCACTGTCAAGGGGCAGCAACATTGCGTCTCTGCCGCAGCGGCTCGTGCTGCTGACGTTGCGAAAAGTTTACAATTAAATGATTTAAACAATGTTTTTTTTTTTTTTGCCTTTTTACGGTTTACACCTGTTTGAGTTCAAACTATAAATAAACCATGACGTAAATACTCATAGCCACGGTTCGCCACAGATCCAAAACTAAATCCGTTCCCTCGCGCTGCCAGGTCTATATATACACTAGATCTATCTATATATACATACATACATATATCTGTATATATACGTGTTTATGTTTGCTTATCC